TTTGTTACACACATTTTTAATGTAACTTTTTTTTATAAAAATAATATTCATTAATTCTTTAAATACTTTAAGATAATGTTAACAAATTAAAAATTTTATCCATATGAAAAATCTATTATGAAATTGCTGCGAAAATTACAACAGTCAATGAGGTATATGCACCCAATTGTGGACAATAGAATACCAGTACATGGATGCCAGAGGGCAACAAAAATATAAAAGCGAAAATACTAGTTTTTATAATAACTCAATAAGCATATTTGAATTGCAATATAATTTTTTTTTAATTTGACTGCGAAAAAAATTTTGGATTTTTTTTTCTTTTAGGATGTTTGAAAGTTTAGGGAGAGGAAACGGTGTACTCTTAAAATGCATTTAGTAAAAGATCTAAACATTCCAAAATTGTCAAACAGTATTCAAATCCTTAGTTAGGATATTATTTGTTTCATGTTATTACACTGTCTGTCGTTTGGGCAAGTCTCAAGACCAGTAGAATTTATTTTGCACGCAAGAAATTAATTAATAAATACAGAATTTTTGTATAATACATCACAATAAGTTAAAATATTTAATATAGAATAATGTTATTTTAACAGTATTTTTCATAATATTGTTTATAATATTTTTATTAATGTCCATCGCATCGTATATCTAATTTTATGCTTTTCTTTTTCTTATTTTCCTGTCTCTCTTATTGTACGTGAAACATGTTGTGAGAGTATGTTATTGAAATTATATTTTTGTAGACTTAACATATACTTTAGAAAAACCTGTAACTGCATAGTTTGCAAACAGGCAAGGCAAAAGCAACAGCATATAATTATCGATGAACAGTCTTATCTAAAGATTTGATCATATGATTTGAACCAAGTTTACTTGTCCAAAACGTTAATTCACACATGGGTTTCCTGTAGGCTGTACGTAAACAATGCTCAAAATAACTGCCAATTTCCCTTCTTCAAAAGATGTTACATCAATGTGATACTTCATATTAGCTTTGATCATTTGGATGGCATCAAGAAAATCAGAGAGCTTTCATAAAATTGCTCGACTTTGCCAAAATATCCTGACTACGAAAATATTAAAGAAACCATAATCGAAAGATCAGTACAAACTCTCTTGTATTTTGTTTACACTCCAGAATTCAATTTAATTAATATCTACTTTGTTATTTTGGTAAATAATCGATAGTTTCTGAGTTGTATGTACGAAGCCAAAGGTATAATTCATCAAATCTCCACATTATCTAGCTTTTGAACATCATGAATGACAATTTTATTCATCAAACAAGCAGACACAGAATCCAAAGTTAACAAAGGCAAAAGTAATTGCATAAAATTCATCTTATTCAAATTAACTCTAATTCTTATGTTATTAATAGTATTCTGATACATTTTTACACATTATGAAGAAGTCTAAAACCAAGTAGTGGATGACTGGCTGATCTAATAATTAAAGAAAGCATATATAGATATTAACAGTGGAAGCTGATTATTACATAATAATATATCTATCAACTATCATTAATCATTAATTACACAGCCATTATGCGCGGGATTGTTGTTTATGGACGTCCATGGGGAACACCTTGAGGTGATGGTTGGGGATCAGGGGGAGGCTGATCTGCCCAGCGTCCAAAGGGTACTCCACTGTTAACACATTCATACCTTTGTTAGAGAAATTATATTTCTATATATATAATAAAAATACACAACAATTTATATAAAAAAGGGAGAGATAAGAAGAAAAGAAAGAGAAATGTGAGATAAAGGTGATGATGAAAAGAGAAGTGAGAAAAAAAATGTTGCATAAATATGATATCATCCGTTTGTTATATACTTGGCATGCATTATTGTTAGTATCAAATATGCAGTACTAACATTTAATTTCATTAGAGAAACTGAAATATGATGCCATTCTAGTGTATATAGCTTTAGTGGTTTTACTTATGAAGTTACTAAATAATCAATCATATATATACATACCTGACCCCAGTGGTTTGAAGGAAGAAGAGAGCCAAACAGAAAAAGCACACAAGAAACCATGACAACTTCATTGTTTGCATCTCCTTGTGTTATATCTGATATGAAGCAAGCATCGCTTATGTGAAGTAATGGGTGTTGAATTGTGGTAGGTAAAGATCATAATATATAGGATTTAATTGAGGATGTTCTTGTTCAAAAGTCCAAATTGATCTTATTTTGATGATGATGAAACTATATCTCTCTGTCCCACACGGCTTAAATATATTTCTTGCACCACTTCTGAGTTGTTCCTTGTCATTTTTAAATTACTTGGAGAGTAATATAGTGTCACCCACGTACGAGAAAACGGCTTAATTATGGTCTTGTTTTATACAATTATAACTTAGACAGAAGAAAAGAAAATAACACAATTATTAACTCCATAGCTAAGGTTTAATCAACTCCGAGAAAAAGGGGAAAGAGCAAAATAAAGAGGCTAGGCTAGTAATGACCCATTCCACAGGAAAACACACACAACGTTAACACAGTCCACGCGTGAAGCTTAAGCTATCCAATCTAAAGGGAAGAAAAAAAATTTTCAGGCAATGTTGATGATATATTTATATATATCTCTTTATTTAAGATTAATTTAATATTATATATATTTTTGTGTGTGTGCACGCTCATTATTTATAATATGAATTTTCACAATTATTAAGAACTAATGGACTTTTAATTATAATTTTTAAAATATAAATAAATAACTACAAAAAAATTTAAAACTTTAACGGTTAAAAATATAAAAGTCAAGAATGATATAAATGAAAGAGATGTAGAATTAACTAATGAAAGAAAATTAAAAAACACTCTCTTCCATAAAAGTTTGGTTTTCGTATAAATCCCTTTGTTTTAAGTTTGACAATTTCTAAAAAAAACATAGATGTAAATAAGTATTCAAATTTTAATTAGTTTTTTTATAATTTGAAAAAATAATAGAGAAGAGAAAAAAAAAAAGAAAAATCATAAGATATATATGTTTAACCTTAGTTTAACTATTCATAGCTTTCCTTTTTTTATTTATTTATTTTTGATATTCACATTGACATTTATCTTTTCTTATCATTGAAATTACTCTCTTCATACTTGAATATAAGGAAATTTAAATTTATGTATAGTGGTCTAAAATATAAGTAAATATTAATTGATTTTATCCTATTTAATGAAATCATTCTTAAAATATTTGTTATTTAATTTAAATTTTATTTTTGACTCATTTCATTCATGTGAGACTTTTAAAAAAGAGAAATAGTATTTTTATTTAAATAAAATTAAGAAAATTAAATGAAGTTAACTACTATTCTTAATTAGGTGACTATGAATTACTGAAGAAACTGCTATATTCTTTCATAAAAGAAATTAGGATAAATGCTAGATCCTTTATTATATTCCTTGTTTTACTTAATGGGTAAATAATAGCTAAATTTTCAAGTTGGAGGTACGAAGTCAAATGCGTGATTCCACAAATCTCACTAATTTTCTCCATGTATCCAGTTTTAGGACATTAAACAATTTTATTCATTATCTGCACACAGAATCCAACGTTAACAAATTAAGAGAGAATAGAGGAGGCAAGAGTGGTGCAAGTACAGCAGAAGTTACATCTTATTCAAATTCTGACGATTCTAATGATGCAGTGATATATAATTCTTATACGTTTCTACAAAGCCTCAGACGAGTAACAAATAACTCACTGATCAAATAAAGAAAGCGCGCACATACATACATATATAATAATAGATCAAAATGATTAATATTGCATGAAGATGCATAGATGTATCAATAATTTTAATTATAATTGGCGATTGTTGTTCATTGAGGTGATGGATAAGGGTCGAGGGCTAACTGATTTGCCCAGCACCCACTGGATTCTACCCACTGTCAACACATTTAAGTTGTTGGCATTGTTAAAATTATGAATGATTGAACTAACAACCTCCTTCAAAGAAACATGCATGATAGTATATTAATGTATGCTTAATGGTTATATACTTGTCAAGTTCCTGATAATAGTAACCAGATAGGTTTGGAGGAACAGTAGAACGAAACAACAAAAGTGTACAGAAAACATAACAACTTCATTAATTTTTTCCATTCTTTTTCTATCTAATGTGTGCAATTAAGCTTGACTAATTAATGCTTTCTCTCTGATACGGTGATACTTGGTATTTCACCAGTGAGCTTTGAAAAGACCAAGAACAGAAAATATAGGATTTAACTAATGATTTAAATTGTGAGCAATGGTTTTTAGAATTTCTATCTTTTAAATATGTAATTTTTTCCTATTAAAGCATCTTCATTTATATATATATATATATACACACACACACTTAACTTTTTTAAAAGTAAACATAAAAAACCATTAAAAAAGGAAAAAGAACTGGAATGAAATAGGTATTACAAAAGTGCAAAAATTTGCTCCTTGCTCATATACTGCAATAATGTTTGATTTGGTCTTCCAAAATTAATATTTATATTTTTAATAACAAATAATATTTTAACTTAAATTAATTATTCAAAGTAATTTAAACACATCTCATAATTATGTTTGCTATTTTAAAATTAAGTTATTAACATTAATTCTATTTAACATTAAAATACTGTTAAATGGTTAAAATTACAAAAATTTAATTGTACATTACTTTCAATATTATATATTTTAATGCTTTGTTTTTAATTATTTATAAAATTTAATAACTAATTTTTTTCTCATTCTCATGTTAAACATGCTTAGCTACCTGTTTTACAAATAAGCATTAAAAACCAAAAAAGTTGTTCCCAATCCTTGGCTTTTGCGAGCATCAATAACAAGAAGAAATTACAAGGCAAAAAGACACTTTCCTTGATGAAAATAATTAGTGACAGGTTAAGTTCTTGCAGGAAAAGAATTAAAATTTTAACAAATTAGTTTTTATGCTAAATTCTTAGAAAATAATAAAATAATACATCTAAAGAATCGTATTGAAAGTTTTCAAACTTATCTTCAATTAAGAGATTAGAGGAAAAATGCATTTTGCTTTGTTGACCTAATTTTGTGGCACATAAGACATCATCTTCCAGCTCCATCGGACTCCCAAGAGAGCTTGACACGTGGAATCCTCATTAGCCTAAACTCAATAATACTATACGCACCCAAGGCGCATTTTATCACAAGCCGCCCCTTCCGCCGCGCCGCCCCTTCCGACTCTAACGAACTCTCCCTTACCCTCTTTAAACTCACCACATTTAAAATATGTCACTCCTTCTCTCACCGACACATTCCCTTACCCTCAACCCCCATGTGCATTTTAGCCCCTCCCCACTTTCCATGTCCATCTTACGCCGCCTCACTCTAAACCTCCGCAACCACCGCCGCCGCCGATTCGCCACCGTTTCCGCCGCCGTACGCCAGGACATCACCGTCTGGACCCCAGCCCCGCTCTCCGAGGTCGAGCCCGCCGCCGAGTCCCTCTTCCACGTCGCCATCGACGTGTCCGACGCGCCCGACCTGGCCGCGTCGCACACGCGCGCCGGCCAGTACCTCCAGCTTCGAGTCCCTGACGCGCCTAAGCCCTCGTTTCTGGCCATCGCGTCGCCGCCGAAGCTCGCGTCCGCGAGTGGCGTGTTTGAGTTTCTGGTGAAGAGCGTGGCGGGGTCCACGGCCGAAGCGTTGTGCGCGTTGAAGAGAGGGGATGTGGTTGAACTGAGCCAAGTGATGGGAAATGGGTTCGACATCAATCGGATCGAGCCGCCCGAGAAATTTGGAACCGTTATCGTCTTTGCCACTGGATCTGGAATTAGGTCAGTTACGCAATTTGCCTCCAATTTGCATTGTATCGTAAAGATGTTTCCTTTCTTTCTCGAATTTCCAAAGGTGGGTCGCAATGTGGAATCCACCTCATTGTTTATTTAACTGAATTTTTTTATGGTATGGGCAATTGTGGGGCTGTGAGGATTGTTAAATAAATCAACATTTTGATAGGCAATTATATGGCGTAAAATTGCAGATGCATAGGATTAATACTAATAGAGCATTGTGTAAATCAATATTCAATACTTGATGTCAGTAATGCTAATTATTTGTTGCAGATGCATAGTCCTAACTGAGCATTGTCTCCCAGTGTGTGTGTTTTGTGTTGATCTGTTTTGAGGATTGTTTTCCAGATGCTAGTTACGTTTGTTGTAGGCTTTGGGTGTGAATGTGTTGTTGGAAAAACCTGGGTGTGCCCTCAGCAGTTGGAGTGTTTTCTTTTGATTGAGTTTAGATATCTTGGCCAAGCTAAGTAGAGTAATGTGTTCCAGTAGTGGCTGTGTAAGTGCCAAGATTCATTGGTAGATTTTGATAGTGATTGTAGAGCTTTGGTATTTTGGAATCTCGGTTTTGTATTTGCTTTTACTTGTTCCTTTTTCTGAGGGCATTGTCGTTTTATCCTTTTGTTTTGTTCCTTTCCTTTTATTAGAAGATAGAATTTTGTTGTAACAACTCTGTGGCCCTTGCCTGTAAATCATGGTACATGGGGATGTGTGAATACTTTTGCATTGCATCTGTTAACAACAGTAAAATCTGCTATTAATCCTAGATTTTCCATTTACTCTCTTGTATGTGGTGTCACCATTTACTTCCTTGTTTGCAGTCCGATTCGATCACTTATTGAATCAGGATTCGATGCCTGCAAGAGGTCTGACGTGAGACTATATTATGGAGCCAGAAACCTTCAGAGAATGGCTTATCAGGTTAGTTCAGTTGTTTGTTTGCTTGACGATGGAAACCTTGTACTTTCATTCAGAGCCTGCCCTAATAGCAATGTTTTTAAATTATATAGGATAGATTTAAGGACTGGGAATCTTCTGGTGTGAAGATTGTACCTGTTTTGTCTCAACCAGATGGTAGTTGGACTGGAGAAAGTGGCTATGTTCAGGTAAAGTGTGTGAGGGTGTGGGAATAGGTTTTCAAATTATTACCTTCACGAGGTAATGATGATTTCACACATGATAATCATCGCAGGCTGCATTTACAAGAGCGAAGCAAATATCTAGCCCTTTGGCAACTGGTGCTGTACTTTGTGGGCAGAAACAGATGACAGAGGTATGCAACTATTAGGGATCAAGCTTTTCTTGTCTGTCTACATAATTATGAGACTTATTTGTTGTGTCTTTATTGTCTTGTCCATTGGTTCAACATTCTGGTCAATTCGCACTGCCTTTCTTAATTGAGTTATTGGAAGAAACCCATATGTAGACCGTGAGAGAAATATAAAAATGGTTGCTTTGACGATCTCTGAGGAATAGCACCCTCAGTTAAAATATAACTAGCATGTAGGTTCTCTATTGTTTCCTCCTCAGGTAGAGCCAGAACAACTAAAAATTCAAATAATCATAGCAACTAAAATTTAAGACAATCGGATTACTATCAATGAATGAATTACTCGAGATTTTTTGACAAGGTAATCTCCTTTCCCTGCCTTCCCACCCTCCCGATATTTTTTTTCAGACAGAGTGAGTGTTGTGCAACTAATAGAGGATAATGTGCATAAGAGAGGTTGACGAAACAGTATTATTTATATTTGGGTGCATCACTTTATACTGGACTCACTCAAATAGGATTTAGTTATTATACAATAGAATCACTTCTGCGTATGGAATGGGTTATTATAGCATATCATTATGTGTGAATGTGTTAATTGGCTTCCATGAGAGAAAGAGAGAGACACTGCTCCACAGCCTCACGGCACAGGTGCAACATTGTTCAAATTTATTCTCTACGACTCTACAATACAAATACTTCACTGTATCTGTTTTTTGTAGCTCATGTTTTTCCTACAATGCTCTAGCGAGAAATGCTAACAAGTTGTCTTTGATACACTGTTCACCAAACAATAGTACCTCTTCTCTTCTATTGGGTAAAATCTCATATGGGCCTGGCTAAATAATCTCCTATTGGAGAGCCATGGGATTTCACACAGTAATAGGGAGTATTAAATACTGTGTTGCTAGCATGTTTTCGAATGTCAGTTGTTCCAATTCATGATGATGACCTTTGAATATGTTATTGTTGCAGGAAGTGACATCTATTCTTGTTGCTGATGGAGTGTCAGCTGACAAGATATTGAAGAACTTCTGACCAAAATGCAATTTGGGCAGTTTTGTATATTTTTTTTAATTATACTCGATAATTATTTGTTCATTGCCTCTGCTGAGGATCACACGTCTCGGCTTGGAATGTACAATAAAGAACAATTTTGGAATTTAATTTATACATTAGAATTTTCGGCCCCTGACCACTCTCAGGGTCCAAATGTACGACATAAATGCCAGGCTTTAGTTGATAAAGAAAACTTCCAAGCGTTGGTCTTCTGTAGTCCTAGCCATTTTTTTTTCTGCGAATGCCTGTATTACCCACGCAGCAAGTCATCAATATATTGACATAAAGGTCAACACAGAGCCAAGGCTTGGCAAATAATCGAGCTACATTTGTTGATGTTTGACTCAAATTTTATCTTACATATCAAGGTCTTTTGTATCAATTTAGTTTCTTAAACAGAGATTTGAATTTGTCGCAGAAAAAAAATGTTTTTAAAATACGTCTACCTTTATTTTTTGGTTCGACGACAATATAAACCGACTTAATTTGACCAACAATTAAGTCAAATGTTATGAATATCGAATTTAAACATTAATATAACTCTTATTCCTTAAAAAAAATATAACTCGCAAATGCGAGTCCTTTAACCCATCAACCAAAATTTTCAGTTCCTAGAAGAATACAAGATTGAGAAATGAGGTGAGAAACATTAATCTCCATCATTCATGTATACAATTAAGATTAATTCTCCTTCTCTCTCACAATTCTAATGTCTTTATTCACCTGCCCGCTCTGCGATTTGATGACTTCTTGAAAATGATAGCTTCTAAGAACTAACAGACAATGTGTGTCTACTAGTGTAATAAATTTGACGAGGTTCGAGCTGGTTTTTTTAAATCAAGAGAAAGAAAGACTTCGGGTACGCGAAAGACAATTCCAGTGAGATCATCTAACAAAATCTGCCCACAACCATCCGGACCCCGAACGTCTTTCAAAGCAAATATACACCTGTTGGCTGTTGGATTGCTTACGACTGTTGTCCCCACCCACGCACACACCCCCAAAAATTGATTAATAGCGTGTCATTGGCTATGAATCTGCAGCAATATTAGCATTTCCCAAGTATTATTTCCGATTGCACACAATATTCACACATCCTTGCAATACACTACTGTTGACCGAACAGAGTAACCAACAAATAAGCAATTGATCAGCATCCAAAACTTACTTGGGCAGTAGCAAAACCAAAAACAACGAAAATAGAATCCCTCATGAGCCCTCAAAAATATTTTATAACCTTCAGATGCAATTGCTTATAGCTGAATAAGGATCAAATTAATGCCATTAGCCAACAATAACCCAAGCAAAGTTTCCACAGTTAATCTGCCGACGATATTACATCAGACAAATAATAAAATTGCTCCACTTAAATTTGAATATGGGATTGTCAACAGCCAATTCCAGTATAGAACAATGACAAACAGATAACAGAACAGATTATGAAAAATCAAACAATCTGACCATCATTATTCTCAACCATAGCTCTATTTTCATGATGACCACCATCATTTTTCCCAGGTTCAGTTCTGTCCAACTCCTCCTCATGCTTCCCATTGATTTTTGGAGAATGCTGGTCCAAGTGATTTCTCTCCTCATCCAAGTGGTGTCTATGTTTGTGGTGATGATGATGGTGACGATGATGATGATGATGGTGATGGCGACCAGACTTCTTATGCATTGATCTACTTTCATCTTCCGAAGTTTCATCTGAAGACTTCCCTAATGATCTGCTTCTTCGACCATGACTGTAGTAATCAGAATCAGATGACCTCAATTCCACATTATGTGATCGCTTGTGATGTTTATGGTGCCTTTTGTGGCCCTTTTTGCGGGGAGCACCATCACTTTCATCACTTGACAAGTAAGATTCACTAGATTCTGATTGTCGATGGCGTTTGTTATGCTTTCCATGACTTCTTTTCCGACGTTCATCACTTGAGAAGTCTGATTCACTAAATTTTGATGGACGATGTCTTTTATGCTGCCTTTTCTTCTTGCTGATTTCATCAGCACAAGAATCAGAATCACTGGAATCTGATCTTGAACTTTGATCTCTCAGCTTCTTGCTTTGCTTCTTCTTCCTTCTCCTCTCCTCAGAGCTACTGTCAGATTCATCACTGCTAAAATCACTAGATTCTGAGGACCATTTCTTTGTTTTTCTTTTGGAACTTCTTCCTCTCCTTTTCTCATGGTCACCAGAGTCATAGTGAGAATGCTTCTTGTTCTTCCTATGAGATCTTTTACTCGTCCTTCTATTCTCATCATCAGTGTCATAATCATTGTCATTATCAGAGCCTGACCTCCTTTTATGCTTTGCAGCCTTCAGCTTCCTCTCTTTAGCTTCAGCATCGGCCTTGGCCTTTGAGGCAGCTTCCAGCTTTTGCTCCCACTTCAAAGGAGCTTCCTTTCTCTCCATAATTTTCTTCTTCTTCTCCTCAACCAGCTGGATGAACCGTTTGGTGTCCATTTGTATTCAATAACCAACTCAAAAACTGCATTTTGGTAGAATGATGACCGGAAGTGCATCTCACAGAAGAGAAAAATCAAAGTTAGTTCTACAATCAAATCAGAGTCATTACATGAAATATTTAAAAGGATTAGACACAATTATAAAATCTTCTTCCACGTTATCTATAAAAGGCCAGATACACAAATGAAATGAACTTCACATACAGAAAGTTTCACAGTTAAAAAATCTTTCAAAAACCCTTTTCTATGATTAAACAAAAATAAGGGGATCCTACAGAAGATGAAAAATTGATCACATCTTACATCAATGATATCAATGTTTGCACACTGAAACATAGCACGTTAGAGAATGACGGATAAACGACAAAATCACAAAAGAAAAAAATCACCGCATATAACTGAAAAGCATTGCTCCGTAGCAAGAATTACAAGGGAGATGATGCTTAAAAACATATATAACCAATAAATCATGCAAACATGTTTTACATTTTCATATCCCCGTGACAAATCAAAGGAATCAATATCTTATAAACAAAAATATTTCCATGGATGCCCTCTCTTTCATTTCTTACCTTATATGTGAAAGAGGAGAAACAGCGTAGCAGCAATCTACCCCGAATCCAGTAATAGTCAACAGTTGTGAATAAATCTGCATCAAATAAAAAAAAAAAAAACAGTTGAGAACTTAAACGGAACAAGAACAAAAATAACCGAAACTGACGAACCGTAAAAATAAGAGAAAAGAAAAGGCATAGACGGACCAAAGAGAATTGAAAGTGAAGGGGGAAAAGAGGCAGTACCTGAAGGATGAAGCAGATAAAGATGAGGCTTCGAAGTTAGGGTTAGGGTTGGGGGTAGGGCTTGCTGCTTGCTCCTTCCTTCCAGAAACGTCTAATAGTAGAGAACCTATCGGGGATACACGCAGTGTTATTTATAGACGCTTTCTTTCTCTCATAATGAACCGGACCCGATTCTTTCACGCGCATTAACCCGGTTGGTCGGTGACCACGCGGACGCGGTCCACGCCACAACGAGTTTTATTGTTTTAATTAAATTATTAAATTTAAATGTCAAATCCTGTACTGCACTTGCGCAGGTGCATAAATATAATTTTTTACGTCAGAAGATGCTCCACTTTCTTTGAAAACAAGCATGTGAAAAGAGCTTTAAAATTTTACCTTCAATACTTGTAACAGTATAATTGAATGGGAAGTTGTCTGAATACAGGATTTAACACAAATTTTATCTATTATAATATACTTTTTATTAGTAAAATTATAGTGATTCATATTATTTGCTGTAGTCACAATTAAAAGATTACTATTTAAAATAACAAAATCTATTTAAATTTTTATTATTTTTAACTCTCATTTTTAAGATTTTTTTTATTTGCTTGATTTATAATTTGTCAAAACTCATATAATGAGCACATATTTTTTCAATCTTACTAAACAAATAGGTTAACATGAATCAATTACTTTGTCCCATTTAAAGATTTTTATATTATAAGTAATGTCATGAAAATTCTTTTTTTACTTTTTTGGGCACTTTTACCACCCTTGACCTCTCATTCTCAAAATTATATGATATAATATATAGCCTAAAATAAAAACTCTTTAGTAAAGTAAGGAGATTGTATGAGGTGAAATGAATGGTTTCATTGTGATGCACATGCATGTTAAAACTCAAGTTTCTTCCTTCAAAGTAAAAACTTTCTTTTATTGCTTTCCATACACCTTCCTTAAATAGGTAAACAATACAATCCAAATTTAATCAATCATTCCCATAAAAAAGAAATAGCATCTAGTCATTTAAATCACATTCAAAACCAACAAAATAACCACTATTAAGGAGCTCTTGTAAGTGATCAGAGGTTGGAACAAAAAACTAAAATTTTGTTACATATTAGTAATGAACAATTGGTTTTTATCTATGATAAAATAAAAAATCAAGTCATTGCTTGAACCTAGAATATTGGTTGACTTAGACAAGAAATCGAAAACATCATTAAATATCCCAAATGATAATTCCTATCCACGTAAAGGGAGTAACTTAATTTTTTTATTGTAAATTTAATTTTGACTATATTAGATAAAGAAACATGTGTCATCTCTTAACAAAGCATTTTGTGTCTGCTTCAATACAAAATATATTTCTTTTAAAAATGTTGTAAACAACTTTTTAACATACATAAATTTGTAAATAACCTTTGTTGGTAGTCAAAAGAATATCTCAAATAATGTATATTGAAGTAATATCATTGTGTGAGAGGTTTGAGAGCAAAAAAATATTTTAAAAGAGAAAAAATAACACTATAAATGAATAAAGAAAACTTTGAATGCATTCATATATATATATATAGTAAATAGTATTCATATATAATAGCAAGTGATAATTCAATTTTAAAATAGAATATATCTAAACAAATCTTTTTTAAAATTTAAATTAAATTTGTATCAATCTTTAAGTATTTAATTAGAACTGAAAAATATATCTATCTAAATTTATGTCTAACCAATTTTGTATGCCACATAATTTAGTAAAAGTAGAGTGTTCCACATTACACCGCTCCTTTCCATGTTTATTAAATATATAATTTTTTTTATTATAGTAATATAATACATAAGATTTGAAAATAATATATATAGAAATATAAAATTTTAAAAAAATAAAATAAATTTCATAAAATTAATTAATATATATATAAATTTTAATAATGTTTTTAAATTTTATATTTGATTTAAATTTAAATTTTTTTCAATTTTTATAATTCTCTAGAAAATATTATATTTTGGCATATATTATTTTTCAATATTATATAAAAAATTTCCTAAAAATTTTCAATAGATTTTATATTAATATATAATTTTTCGGGTTTTATATGTATAATTAAAAAAAGTTGATTAAAAAATATTTTTTTCTAATAATTTTTTAAAACTTCAAAAATAATAATATACAAAAACAAGTTTAAAATATTGAAATACAAAAGATAAAGAAAAAAACATATAGATAAAATTTATAAAGTAATAAAATTTTAAAAACCTAAAAAATTAAGGTAAAAAACCATCACATCCCGTTCGAGTAACTTTAAAAAAAATTATCTTGTTCGGAACAAAACTTTTTTAAAACTTAGGATAGAAAGTTTTGATTTGTTATTACTTATCTCTTGTAATACACTTCGTGAGAATAAAAAAATTAAAGATGACGACTTTTTTACAAAATATTTTTAAAAATTGTTTGAGAATTAATTTTTAAAAAAAATACATTTAGTGATAATTTTTGTAAAAACTTTTTTAAAGCAGGTAATAAATTCTTAGAAGTCATATTTTTAAATCATTTTAAATAATTTCTTTTATCATCTCTTTTTTCAGATTTCATATGAATACTTATCTTTATATTTTTAATTTTTTATTATCTTGTACAAACTTTTAATATATATATATATTAAGATTTATAATTTTTTATTATTTTATATAAACTTTTAATTTTATATTTATAACATTCACAATATTTAATATATTATTTGTAATATTTTCAATTAAAATTCTCAGAAAATATTCAAATTTAATTTTATGTAATTGTTTTTAGAAACAAAATTGACATAGTATTTGATTACATGCATATAGTTATTTCTTTATTTAATTATAATAAATTTATTTTTAATTATTAAAATATATTTATTTATTTTAAAATAAAGTATTTGTGGATTACATGCATTTTTAATGAGTGTTTTCTTTTTATATAATTTATTGTTTTAATTTTTTTAATATTTGTAACATTAAACAACTTACTTGTCAAATCAACTAATCAAAAAATAGATAGCGCTAGACTGCGTGACTTGTATTTAACTATGAGAGCAAAGAATATGACGAATAAGAGAGCATGACAATCACCGCAAAACTGAAGGTACGAATGTAGAAAGAACTGTCATAGATGCAAGTTTTGATAATAATAATAATAATAATAAATATTCAAATAAAATTTTTGATAAGTATAACAAACTTTTTATTAAAAATTGTAATATTTAATACTAGAAGGAAATAATCAATTATAGAATCTCATAATGACTACACAAAACTCGGCACTGAAAATTACATAAAATAACAAGTTAGAAAAGCAGAATACATTTGTGGAAGCACTTTCAAAAATTACTTTACAAATGTAGGCATGCCCAAGCATCTGGTAGTATGATCATTAAGAATACACATTTTTTTTTATCTAAATAAAGCAGGAAAGGCAATATATATTTGATATATGCTAAAACTATCTTTATATTAACATAAAAGACAACAACAGACGAAAGCACCTCACTCTAGCACATCTCAGGTCCCATTCCCAATATTATAAAGGGAGCCATACACGTATTAACAGCAACAGCAACAATGCACTATGCAAAGGCAATCTAACCTACCCGTGAGTAGGAAGTAGATTCTCCGAGGGAAGAAACGATATTGGCCACTTCGGCTTCAGCTTCAGGCAACCACTGAATACAAGTCAGCCTTATGCTTCCTCGTCTCCTCAACTTTCCTTTAATAAATGTCAAGGCACTCTTGCTCCAGACGAAGAAGCTATTAGATAAAGATATAAATTTTTAAATAGTCTAAAAAATTATATGAAATAATTTAGAAAAAAATTATTTCTATTTTTTATTCCCAAAATATTTCTATTTGGTTATGACTGTGAGCATTACCTTTTATTCCGTTGTTACTATTGTTTTTTGACCTCTGAAAAATGATGACCAGGAAGGTGTGGCTATTGAAATAGCAGAAGCAGTTGTTGGGGCACTGAAAGGGGAGCTTGCTGCTACTGCAGTCAATGCACCAATGGTTCCCTCAAAGGTACTACAAAAAAATTCATCTATATCCCCTTCCTTTTTCATCATGAACATTGTTTCTTGTTATTGCCTTTACTCTTCCCCTTATCAGTATCCTTTTCTTTATGAATAAGTAACCCCCACCTTTGTGCTACAGATGTTTGGCTTGAGAAAATCATTGTTTAAATTCATTAACATCATGTATAACTAGATTCAAATATCGTAGACAGTGCCTATTTCCTTAAATTATTAATTTTAACTGTTATTTTCTCTGATGATTCAAAATAAACAAATGGCAAAATTTGGTTCGAGAAATCTGTAATTATAATCCAGAGTACAGGGAGCTCACTGAATTAGTGTCATTCATTGATTTGTAATCGAATTTGAAGTTCTGCAGTTCATTTAGTGTTCCATTGTTTTAAGCATAAACATCTTGAGCACATCATTATATAGCATGATTTGTGAATTAAACTTAGTTTACAAAACTGGTGATGGAAATGGCCAAGTTTAACATATATCTCCTTTGTAACTGCAGGTGTTAACTGAATTAAAACCATTTGTTGATCTTGCTGAGAAACTGGGTAGGCTGGCTGTCCAGCTGGTGGCGGGAGGAAGTGGTGTAAAAACAGTAAAAGTCACTTATGCTTCCTCCAGGGCCCCTGATGATCTTGACACTCGCCTTCTCCGAGCCATGATAACAAAGGGGCTGATCGAGCCAATATCTAGTGTTTTTGTGAACCTGGTTAATGCTGATTTCACTGCCAAACAAAGAGGGCTTAGGATTACCGAGGAGAGAGTTATTCTTGATGGTTCCCCCGAGAATCCACTTGAATTCATTCAGGTCCAGATTGCTAACGTGGAATCCCGATTTGCTAGTGCCATATCAGACTCTGGGGAGATCAAGGTTGAGGGTAGGGTGAAAGATGGTGTCCCCCATCTGACGAAGGTTGGATCTTTCGAAGTTGATGTGAGTTTGGAAGGTAGCATTATACTATGTAGGCAGGTAGATCAACCTGGCATGATCGGAAAGGTTGGGAGTATTAGGGTCAGGAGAACGTGAATGTCAGCTTCATGAGTGTAGGAAGGATTGCTCCACGCAA